TTTGGAATGACTCCTGGAAATGCCACAGGATTTCTTGACATAGTCTCATGAATGTTTTCACTGGTGGCAATCTTTGCCTTTGTTGGCTGGATTGGAAGGAAATGGAGACGTTTAGCTTGGGAAACAGAAGGCTTAGTGGGGACATGAGAGTTTCATTGCCCGAAGTTATTTTTTATTTTAGAAACAGGGTCTCACTTTGTGACCTAGGCTGGGGTGCAGGGGCATGATCATAGCTCACTGTAACCTTGAACTCCTGGGTTCAAGGCATCCTCCTACATAGTTAGGACTACAGGCACATGCCACCATGCCACATGCCTGGTTAATCTTTTTTTTTTTTTTTTTTTTTTTGAGACGGAGTCATGCTCTGTGGCCCAGGCTGGAGTGCAGTGGCCGGATCTCAGCTCACTGCAAGCTCCGCCTCCCGGGTTCACGCCATTCTCCTGCCTCAGCCTCCCGAGTACTTTTTAAAAGATACTTTTTTAAAAGATTAACGGCCGGGCGCGGTGGCTCAAGCCTGTAATCCCAGCACTTTGGGAGGCCGAGACGGGCGGATCACGAGGTCAGGAGATCCAGACCATCCTGGCTAACACGGTGAAACCCCGTCTCTACTAAAAAAAAATACAAAAAACTAGCCGGGCGCGGTTGTGGGCGCCTGTAGTCCCAGCTACTCGGGAGGCTGAGGCAGGAGAATGGCGTGAACCTGAGGGCGGAGCTTGCAGTGAGCTGAGATCCGGCCACTGCACTCCAGCCTGGGTGACAGAGCCAGACTCCGTCTCAAAAAAATAAATAAATAAAAATAAAAATAAATAAAAATAAAAAAGTATTTTCGGAGACGAGGTCTCTCTGTGTTGCCGAGATTGGTCTCAAACTCCTGGCCTCAAACTATCTTTTTGTCCAGGCCTCCCAAGTAGCTGGGATTACAGGTGTGAGTCACAATACACTGAAGGTTTTTTTTTTTTTTTTTTTTTGGAGAGACAGGCTCTCGCTGTGTTGCCCAGGCTGGCCTCAGAGTCCTGGGATCAAGCAATCCTCCTGCCTTAGCCTCCAAAAGTGCTAGAATTACAGGCATGAGTCACTGCACCCAGCCCTTGAAGCTTTATTAAGGGCAAAAGGGATCATCATGATTACTACTCCGGCTAATCCCCCCAAATTGTCCCAGACCTTTACAGTTTACACAAATATCACCTCATTTAATATATAAAACCTATGTTGCCACAGATAACAGAGTTGGGGCAAATAAGTGGAAGTTAAAACTTTATCATTAAGAAGAACTGCTTAATGATCAGAGTAGTTCCAACAAGAAAACATACTGCTGACGGGGTGAAGTGGCTTAACCTCTAATCCCAGCACTTTGGGAAGCTGAATCAGAAGGATTGCTTGAGGCCAGGAATTCAAGACCACCCTAGGCAAAAAAGTGAGATCCTGTATCTACAAAAAACATAAAATTTAATAAATGAAAATTTTAAAACATGTCACCTGTGAAACAGAGAACTTGTTTTCCTTGGAAAGGTTGAGCAGAAAAGTGAAGGTACAGAGAAAGGAAGCTAATTAGGGCCCACTCAAATCTAAGGTTCAGACTCAAGTCTGGGGAGTAAGATTGGCTAATTTTGTTTTTGTTTTTGTTTTTGTTTTTCTTTTTCTTTTTTTTGAGACAGAGTCTCACACTGTGGCTGAGGCTGGAGTGCAGTGCGCGAACTTCTGCTCACCACAACCTCCTCCTCCCAGGTTCAAGTGATTCTCCTGCCTCAGCCTCCTGAGTAGCTGGGATTACAGGCATGCACCACCATGCCCAGCTAATTTCTTGTATTTTTAGTAGAGACGGGGTTTCACTATGTTGGCCAGGGTGGTCTTGAACTCCTGACCTTGTGATCTGCCCACCTTGGCCTCCCAAAGTGCTGGGATTACAGGCATGAGCCACCGCATTGGGCCTGGATTGGCTAATTCTTTCTTAGCCTAGCTAAGTAAGGTTTTAGAGGAGGAACAGAGATGGGAGTAGGAGAGTGATTTCAAGTGGAAGGCACAGCTGGAACACAGGTACGGTATGTGCCCAAGAGAAGTTTGGAAACTCTCAATGATTTGGACTAGAGTGTAGAGTTTGGGCTCTTGGTGATTTGTGACTTTAAGCAAGTTACTGAATTGTCCTAGGCCACAGTTTTCTCCTTGGTTAAACGAAGGAACTGACTGAAATCAGTGGATCTCTATCTTTTCTCATGGTGGCTTAGATTGTACTCCCGAGACTCTTTGCAACCAGAAGTCCTAAATGAAATAAAAGGAGGTAATACTTCTTTGTTGTTACTGTGTTTTGTTTTGTTTTGTTTTGAGACAGAGTCTTGCTCTGTCATCCAGTCTGGAGTGCAGTGGCACAGATATCGGCTCACTGCAGCCTCCACCTCCCAGGTCTAAGCAATTCTCCTGCCTCAGCCTCCCGTGTAGCTGGGATTACAGGTGCACGCCACCATGCCCCACTAATTTTTGTATTTTTAGTAGAGACAGGGGTTTCACCATGTTGGCCAGGTTGATCTCAAACTCCCGGCCTCAAGTGATCCTCCTGCCTTGGCCTCCCAAAGTGCTGGGATTACAGACGTGAGCCACTGCGCCCGGCCTGTTGTTTTTATTTAAACAATGAAATTCTTGTATGAGGCTGGGCATGGTGGCTCGCATCTGTAATCCCAGCACTTTGGGAGGCTGACGCAGGAGGATTGCTTGAGGTCAGGAGTTTAAGACCAGCTTGGGCAACATAGCAAGATCCCATCTCTAAAAAAAAAAAAAAAAAAAAAAGAAAAAATTAGCCAGGAGTGGTGGTGCATGCCTGTAGTCTCTGTTATTCAGGAAGCTGAGGTGGGTGGATTCTTGAGTCTAGGAGATTTCGGCTATAGGGAGCTATGAGCCTACCACTGCACTCCAGTCTAGGCCACAGAATGAGACAGTGTCTCAAAAAAAAAAAAAAAGGATGACGTTTTTGTATTTTAATAATTATCGGCCGGGCGCGGTGGCTCAAGCCTGTAATCCCAGCACTTTGGGAGGCCGAGACGGGCGGATCACGAGGTCAGGAGATCGAGACCATCCTGGCTAACACCGTGAAACCCCGTCTCTACTAAAAATACAAAAAACTAGCCGGGCGAGGTGGCGGGCGCCTGTAGTCCCAGCTACTCCGGAGGCTGAGATAGGAGAATGGCCTAAACCCGGGAGGCGGAGCTTGCAGTGAGCTGAGATCCGGCCACTGTACTCCAGCCCGGGCTACAGAGCAAGACTCCGTCTCAAAAAAAAAAAAAAAAAAAAAAAAAAATTATCACAGTATAGAGATTATGGACCTTTAACTTTTAGTCAGGCTTAGTGCCTGTCAAGATGGATTTTTTTTTCTTCATTTAATTTTAAAAAATTTGTGGCCGGGTGTGGTGGCTCATGCCTGCAATCCCAGCACTTTGGGAGGTCAAGGCAGGAGGATCAGCTGAGGTCAGGAGTTCGAGACCAGCCTGGCCAACATGGTGAAACTCTGTCTCTACTAAAAATACAAAAATTAGCCAGGTATGGTGGCTCGTGCCTGTAGTGCCAGTTACTTGGGAGGCTGAAGCAGGAGAATTGCTTGAACCTGGGAGGCAGAGGTTGCAGTGAGCCGAGATCGCGCCACTGCACTCCAGCCTGGGCAACAAGAGTGAAACTGCCTCCAGAAAAAAAAACAAAAAAACAAAAAATTGTAATGTTTAATTAGAAACTACTTCAAATATTCAGAAATCTACAGATAATATAACCACCAAGATAATAGTTCTAATCTCTTTTTTTCTAATCTTTTTTTTCTAATCTCTTTTTTTAAGAGATAAAATGATCCCTTTACAGCTAAAACCCCATCCTCACCTCTTTTCTTCCCCTTTCTTAGAAGTGAGTACACTTGCTGGTTGACTATGAGTTAGCCCTGCTCCACAAGCAGCAGTACTGTTTTGGGGGACTTGGGGGGTTTTTGTGAGATAGGGTCTCACTCCAGTTGCCCTGGCTGGACATGCCCTGCAGTGGCATGATCTGGGCTCACTGCAGCCTCAACCTCCCAGGCTCAGGTGATTCTTCCACCTCAGGCTCCCTAGTAGCTGGGACTACAGGTGTGCCACCACACCGGTTAATTTTTTTTTTTTTTTTTTTTTTTTTTTTTTAGTAGAGATGGGGTTTTGCCATGTTGCCCAGGCTGGTCTCAAACTCGTGAATTCAAGCAATCCACCCCGCCTCAGCCTCCCAAAGTGCTGGGATTACAGGCGTGAGCTACCCAGCCTGGCCAGAAGTAGTACTGTTAAAAAAAAAAAAAAAAAAGGAAAAAAGAAGCACTCTCCCAAAATTGCTGTCTTTCCCATTTAACTTTTTGTATTTTTCTACATATATATCTATAAATATATGACATTTTTGTGTTAAATTTTACATAAGTGCCATACTGAATGTATTATCTTTAAACTTCCTTCCTTCACTCATTATGTTTTTAAGATTTATCTATGTCGATTACATGTAAATCATTTAATTGGTTGTATGGTACTCCATGGTATGACTAACCCACGATTCATCCATTGATTACCCTTACAGAAAGACAGGATATTTCGACATTTTTGCTATTTTTTTTTTTTTTTTTTTTTTTTTTTGAGACGGAGTCTCGCTCTGTTGCCCAGGCTGGAGTGCAGTGGCCAGATCTCAGCTCACTGCAAGCTCCGCCTCCCGGGTTCACGCCATTCTCCTGCCTCAGCCTCCCGAGTAGCTGGGACTACAGGCGCCCGCCACCGCGCCCGGCTAGTTTTTTGTATTTTTTAGTAGAGACGGGGTTTCACCGTGTTAGCCAGGATGGTCTGGATCTCCTGACCTCGTGATCCGCCCGTCTCGGCCTCCCAAAGTGCTGGGATTACAGGCATGAGCCACCGCGCCCGGCCATTTTTGCTATTATAATACAGTTGGAAGGCGTATTCTTGCCAATGTCTCCTCGTGCACACGTGCAATAGTTCCCCTAAGGTATCAGAAGTAGAATTGCCGGGTTGTAAAATATAAGCATCTTTAATTGTAGGTTGAACATGCCCACTTTTGCCTAGGAATCCAATTAGGAGATGAAAATGATGGTATCAGTGACTGCCTCTGCAGAGCTGGTGATCAGTTGAGGCATCATCTCATGCTCTTAGGAGAGGAAAAACAGCAACATTCACTGCCATAGCTTTGTTTGAATAATCCTTGTCTGTTTCCAAAAGCCAAATAAAAAAATATTGGAAATGGTCACTTAATTAAATATCTACCTAATACAATAATTGCTTCTAGAGTATCTTGGACACACGTGTATATAGCCTGTACTTGAATACTACCAGAAACAAACAACTTACAACCTCTCAAAGTAGTCCAGCTCTGTTGGTTAGAAAATTATTTTAGGCCAGGCATGGTGGCTCACACCTGTAATCCCAGCACTTTGTGAGGCTGAGGTGAGCAGATCACGAGGTCAGGAGTTTGAGATCAGCCTGGCCAACATAGTGAAACCCTGTCTCCACTAAAAATAATTAGCTGGGCAAGGTGGTGTGCACCTGTAATCCCAGCTACTCAGGAGGCTGAGGCAGGAGAATCGCTTGAACCTGGGAGGCGGAGGTTGTGGTGAGCCAAGATCTTGCCACTGCATTCCTACCTGGGTTGCAAAGTAAGACTCTGGAAAAAAAAAAAAAAGAAGAAGAAGAAAATTATTTCATAATCTGAAAACACCTGTGGCTGGGAAGTGTGTATCTGATTTTGAACTTAACCATCTTCTTTTTCTTTCTTCTCTTTCTTTTTTTTTTTTCTTTTTTCTGGACAGGGTCTCGTTCTGTGTACCAGGCTGGAGTGCAGTGGTGCCATCTTGGCTCACTGCAACCTCTGCTTCCCAGGCTTAAGCAATCCTCCTATCTCAGTCTCTCCAGTAGCTGGGACTACAGGCACACACCACCACAACCGGCTAATTATTATTATTATTATTATTATTATTATTTTGTATTTTTAATAGAGATGGTGTTTGGCCATGTTGGCCAGGGTGGTCTCAAACTCCTGAGCTTAAGTGATCCTCCCACCTCGGCCTTCCAAAGTGATAGGACTACAGCCATGAGCTACACCCAGACCAGCCACCATGCCCACCCTAATTTTTTTTTTTAAGATGAAGTCTTGCTCTATTGCCCAGGCTGGAGTGCAGTGGCATGATCTTGGCTCACCACAACCTCTGCCTCCCAGGTTCAAGCGATTCTCCTGCCTCAGCCTCCCAAGTAGCTGGCACTACAGGCAAATGCCACCATGCCCAGCTAATTTTTTTATTTTTAGTAGAGACGGGGTTTCACTATGTTGGCCAGGCTGGTCTCGAACTCCTGATCTGGTGATCTGCCTGCTTTGGCCTCCCAAAGTGCTGGGATTACAGGTGTGAGCCACCGCGCCTGGCCAATGTTTGTATTTTTTGTAGAGACAGGGTTTTGCCGTATTGCCCAGGCTGTCTGGAACCAAAAGGTTGGGATTACAGGCATGAGCCTCCGTGCCTAGCTGAGTCTCTGTTTCTTCTAGGTACAATGGGAGTAAGAATCATACCTAACTCACAACGTGGTTGGAAGAATCAAATGAGTTAGTGGGTGTTAATGTATATAAATGTGTGTGTGTACACTATGTATAGATTTACGTATAAGTCTCTGCTATATGGAGAGAGAGGAAGAAAGAGAGAAACTCAAGGAAGCGTAAGAGTACGAGTGAGTACCTACTAGAAAATGATAACTAGTAACTGCAGTTGTTAATAGTCTTCTTCCTAGTGGAGCGAGGTGGCTCATGCCTGTAATCCCAGCACTTTGGGAGGCCAAGGCAGGTGGATCACCTGAGGTCAGAAGTTCGAGACCAGCCTGACCAATTATGGTGAAACCCCATCTCTACTAAAAATACAAAAATTAGCTGGGCATCGTGGTGCGCACCTGTAGTCCCAGCTACTCGGGAGGTTGAGACAGGAGAATCGCTTGAACCCAGGAGGGGGAGGTTGCAGTGAGCCAAGATTGCACCATTGTACTCCAACCTGGGCGACAGAGCAAGTCCATCTCAAAAAAAATAGTCTTCTTCCTGTCATCAGTCTCTACCAACAAAAGTTCATTCTGACAACAAATGTTTACTGAGTTTCTGGTATGTGCCATAGACTGTGCTAGGCGTCACAGAAACATCACCCACTCTTCTCTGTCGGTATATCTAAGATCCTCTGTGACCTTGCCAGCATTAAACAAGAGTTTAAAATGGGGGTTCTCTGCCACAAAAAACAGTATGCGAAAACGATTTAAAAGTGGGGGTTCTGGATTTGAATAGTCTAGGCTTTAATCCCAACTGTACCACTTCCTAGCTATGTGATTGTAGGAGTGTTTCTTTCTTTCTTTCTTTCTTTCTTTTTTCTTTTCTTTTCTTTCTTTTTTTTTTTTTTTTTTTTTTTTTTTGAGACAGAGTCTCTCTCTGTCGCCCAGGTTGGAGTGCAGTGGCACGATCTCGGCTCACTGCAACCTTTGCCTCTTGGGTTCCAACTATTCTCCTGCCTCAGACTCCTGAGTAGCTGGGATTACAGGCGCACGCCACCACGCCCGGCTAATTTTTGTATTTTTAGTAGAGACGGGGTTTCACCATGCTGGCCAGGCTGGTCTTGAACTCCCAACCTCAGGCCATCCGCCCGCCTTTGCCCTCCCAAAGTGCTGGGATTACAGGTGTGAGCCACTGGGCCCGGCTGGGAGTGTGGGAGTGCTTCTTTTCTTTTCTTTTTTTTTTTTGAGACAGAGTCTTGCTCTGTCGCCCAGGCTGGAGTGCTCACTGCAAGCTCCACCTCCCGGGTTTACACCATTCTTCTGCCTCAACCTCCTGAGTAGCTGAGACCACAGGCGCCCGCCACCACGCCTGGCTAATTTTTTTGTATTTTTAGTAGAGACGGGGTTTCACTGTGTTAGCCAGGATGGTCTCAATCTCCTGACTTCGTGATCTGCCGGCCTCGGCCTCCCAAAGTGCTGGGATTACAGGCGTGAGCCACTGCACCCAGTCCGGGAGTGTTTCTTAATCCACTAGTAAGCACTTATCTCCCATGGTAAGTATTCAATAAATGTTAGCTATTATTCAGTTTAATTAACCCAATGACCCTAACCAAGGTTGCAGCCTGAACCTGGGAAGCTACAGATAGATGATCTCAAAGCTTTCTTCTAGTTCCAAAGTCTATGATTTTTTATATTCAGTGGAACAGCTGTGGGGGAGAGGTCGGGGGAATGACCCACAGCATTTTTTAGGAGAAAGGCATAAAAGACTTTGTGAGCTGATGTCACAAGGGTAGGTTCTTACTCCTCTAAATGGGGAGAAATCTCCCTTGGGGATAAATCACCAGCAACTAGAATACTACCTTTGTCTCTGGGAGTATTCAGGTATTCACAGAAAAATTCATACTCATGATGTGAGCAGAATTGGAAAAAAGAAACAAGCTACATACGGAGTGATAAACACTATAAATGCCAAATACATATATTCAGTCCTTACTGAGAGCGGGTGCTGTCTGGTTTTCTGTTTTTTTTTTTTTTTTTTTTTTTTTTTTTGAGATGGAGTCTCGCTTGTCGCCCAGGCTGGAGTGCAGTGGCCGGATCTCAGCTCACTGCAAGCTCCGCCTCCCGGGTTCACGCCATTCTCCTGCCTCAGCCTCCCGAGTAGCTGGGACTACAGGCGTCCGCCACATCGCCCGGCTAGTTTTTTGTATTTTTTAGTAGAGACGGGGTTTCACCGTGTTAGCCAGGATGGTCTCCATCTCCTGACCTCGTGATCCACCCGTCTCGGCCTCCCAAAGTGCTGGGATTACAGGCTTGAGCCACCGCGCCCGGCCTGCTGTCTGGTTTTCACAGGAAAGACAGGCAGTGTTCAGAGGCTCAGACTCTGGAGTCAGGCAGATCTGGGTCTAATTCCCAATTTGCCAACTTATCAGGACCCCGGGGGCAAGTTGCTTTTAGCCTTTCTGCTTCAGCTTCTTTCCTTTTCTGCAAAACACAGACAGCAATAGTACCTAGCTAAGGGACTGTACCCAATCCAGTGCAAATAAAAGTGAATTATTGTATCTGACAAATGGCACCCTATGGATGAGTGACAAGTTTCCCTTGTTAGAAGGTGATGACACTTGTCTTCCCTTTCTGACTTGAAGTTTCATGGGTGGGGCCTGGTCTCTGCCTTAAGAAGATAGGCTTAGTACCACCCTTGTCACCTTGGGAACTTCCTTAATAAAGAGGAGGGTGTCTCCTCCATCAGCCCTGGGACTCCACAAGGCTGGAACTGCGTCTCTTCCTCAGAGATGGGAGCAGCAGTGACTCGGCGAGGGTCAGATGGACCTAGTCGCTCCCATCACCCCGAGGGCACCCAGAGTGTGTGTGGCTGACTCCTCTCCAGGCTACTCAGCGTAAGACCGATTCTCTTTCATCCTCTTCCTTAAGACCCAGGAGACGCGAGTGAGGACTGTGCCACTTCAGCAGTCCCCCAGAGCAGGAAGGAGTGGGCTGAGGCTCGGTTCTGGAGAGCCCTCGGGGCCCTAGCCTGAGAGGTCTCACAATTCGGGGGCTCAGAGTAAGTCTTAAGGAGCTCTTAAGGGGCTGTGCGGGGGCCTGCGGGCCAGTGGGCGAGCGTGTGACCGGGTGTCCCAGAAGCAGTGTGAGGAGCGTTTTACCCGGTGGTGGGGTGGGAGGTGCGTCCGGGTAACTAATGGCAACCGGGCGGGGTGAGCCCGCTCGGCAGGAACTCCTCGACGGCGAAAAACTACGACTCCCAGGGTGCCCCGGGGCTTAGCCCAGCTTTCCCGCCCGCCCACTGGCTGCCGGTCCCGCGAGCGGCGAAGCCCATTGGCCACGGCGGTGCGGGGCTCCCCCACTAGCAGGTTAGTGGGCGCCGCCGGCAGCAGACGTTGACCGGGCGCGGGGGGGTAAGTGGGGGGGCCCAGCTAGCCATTCTGGAAGCTGCCGGGCGCAGTCTGCGTAGCGTACCCGCCGGCTGCGAGGCGCGGGGCGGAGGCGGAGACTGCGTGGCGCAGGCGCGTTGCTGGGCTTCTCTTGGGTCCCCAGACAGCTGGAGGAGATAAACAGAGGAGGAGGAGGGAGGGGAGTGCGTGTGTGAGAGCGCGCGAGGGAGTGTGAGTGTGTGTGAGCGCGGGTGTGAGGCGGTGCGCAGGGGCGGGCGGAGGCGCTGTCCGGCCCCGGCCAGGCGCCGGGCGGGGAGCATGGGAAGGGGCTAGAGCTGCTGGAGCCCCCCAGCCCCCTCCCCGGGATCCTCGCCCCACCTCCCGGGAGAGGGGCCGCCCCCCCGGACGGATATGGGCTCCTGAAGTTGCGCCGCTGCCGGTGGGGAAAGAGACCTGACAGGTACGGGTCGCCGTCGCCCCCTGCCCTCCGCGGGCGCCGAGGCTGGGACTGGCTCCCGCAGCCCCGGCGCACGGGCTGCCCGCTCTGGGCCGGCTCCAGCCCTACCGGCCTGGGGGCCTGAGCCCGCCCGTCTCGGGGCCCCGGGTGTCCCGAGAGGGGCCAGGCCTCGCCGGGGCGGAGGGCAGAGTGGTCCGGGGGCGGGGTGGGGGCTGAGGGTTTGGTCGAGACGCGGGGGGAGGCTGTGGGAGTCCAGGGGGCTCTGCGGAGGGAGAGGTGGAAGTCATTCCATCACGGGACTTTTTTGCGGAGTTTTTGTTTGACATCTGACCTGGCGCCGGAGTCAGGAAGAAGGGGCAGGTGTAAGTGCCGGGAGGGCAACGCCGACCTGACCTCTTAGTTTCTCGCTCGCTCTCTCTGTTTCTCTCTCTCTCTCTCTCTCTCTCTCTGTGTGTGTGTGTGTGTGTGTGTGTGTGTCCACCGCAGATGCCTTCAGTGGCCCATTCTGGCACCAAACTGAACTCTGCCAAGGTGCTTACACCAGGCGACTGTAGCACCCCGTATACAAAGGGCCTCTGCTTGGGAATGGGCCATTCAGTACCCACTTCAAAGGGTAAATAGGAAGTGAGGAGATAGAAGAGAGACTGCGAACCAGCAGGATCCACTTCTTGCACTGAAAGCCGCAGTGGGACGCCCCCTTGCCAGCCTGGTTGACTTTGCTTGGTGCCTTGGGCTCTCTCTCCTCTGCGGGTGTACTCCCAGGGTTTCTAGAGGAGAGGTACAGGGGCCTGTGAGTAATGTCTAACAGCCGAATTTGACTGTTTTCCCCAAAGTTCTTTTCTTCTGTGACTTTCTTTAACCTCCTGAAGTACTGGTAGAGCAACGTTATGGTTTTTCTCTCAAGTTGGTGATTTTAGGAGCCTGGTGGGGTGGCTGAAGCTTCCCCATTCATTCCAAGGATGGGGTAGATGATCTGGGTAAAGTGGCAGTGACGCCTTCCCTTTCTAACAAAGCCTGAAACCGTTTTGAGAAGAAAACTTTTTGAGGGCAGCTTCTGATTCAAAGACATTATGAAATCCCCACCTAGGACACCGGTATGCCCAGTAGTCCCTACTAAGCTTTTCTGTGTCTTAAGTGGCCAGCTTCTGCTCACTGTACTGAAGGAACTACTTAATGCTATTTCTGTCTTGAGTTCTGGCTTATTCTTCCTTGTGATTTTATATCTTTAGCGGGATTGAATTGAATTTTTGCTGTTGAGTGTAATAGCCAGATCCTCTATAACAGACCAGGGAGTAACCGTGGAGCTCCTTTGGGCCGAGTCTGAGACTTACTGAGATTTCTTCATTGTAGGTTGTTGTATTTCACTGGCAGGTAGGAAATGACCTTTTCTGTCATAGTTTGTGATCATGCTGCTTAAAGTCTGGAGTCCTGCTCTCTTTTCCTTTTTTGACCTATGTGGGAGCACTTCTGTTCGAGTCTTATCTCAATTTGAAGGAACAGTGCTTTTGGATCAACTCTGCAGAATAATTGAGCAGTAGTCCATATTTCTGCCTGGGACACCTTCTCTGAGGGTCATGAGGGAAAGAGAGAACACGTGTAAAGATTATGATGACGAAGCTAACGATTATTTACCAGTTTCATACAATTGGCAGTTTTTTTTAGCTGGAAGGAGTTCAGTATTGACTCATTGGGCATCTTATGTAGGGTGTTTTTGCACACCTAGACTTTAGGATTTGGAAAGACAACTGAAAATCATGAAGCCCACTGCCAAACATTTGTGGATCTTGAGGGGCCAACTGCTAAGGAAGATCTAGACTATGACTTGTTCTTTAATTATTTTTATTTTTTCTCTGCTTTTTAAAATTTTATTTGTTTATTTTTTGAGATGGAGTCTTGCTCTGTCGCCCAGGCTGGAGTGCAGTGGCATGATCTCGCTCACTGCAACCTCCACCTCCTGGGTTCAAGCAATTCTCTGCCTCAGCCTCCCGAGTAGCTGGGATTGCAGGTGTCTGCCACCATGCCCGGCTAATTTTTGTATTTTTAGTAGAGACGGGGTTTCACCATCTTGGCCAGGCTGGTCTTGAACTCCTGACCTCGTGATCCACCCACCTCGGCCTCCCAGAGTGCTGGGATTACAGGTGTGAGCCACCGCGCCTGGCCTCTCCTTATATTTTTATTTTTTGAGATGGAGTCTCACTCTGTTGCCCAGGCTGGTCTCAAACTCCTGAGCTCAAGGGATTCTTGTGCCTCTGCCTCCCTGGTAGCTGGGACTACAGACACGGCCACCATGACCACTCTCTTCTCTCATTTTAAATTAAGTAATGTTGCTGACATATGCAGTTCTGAGTCTCAGAGAGGAAGTCAAACAGAACATGTAATCTGGTAATACTTGTGTTTTCTTTGGGTCATTGGTTTAGTTATCTGTTCTGTTTCCTTTCTTCTTTCTGCCTCACCTTTCCAGATGCTCCACTGCATCTTTAGGCTGCCATTGCAGATTGCTGGGCCCACAAAACCCTTAGGTTGTACTTTCTTAGCTATCATCTCTTCAAAAGCCAAAGTTCTGGCAATTGCTATTAGAAACCAGTTCCTGGCTGGGCGCAGTGGCTCATGCCTGTAATCCCAGCACTTTGGGAGGCTGAGGTGGGTGGATCACGAGGTCAGGAGATCAAGACCATCCTTGTTAACACAGTGAAACCCCATCTCTACTAAAAATACAAAAAAATTAGCTGGCCGTGGTGGCACGCGCCTGTAGTCCCAGCTACTCAGGAGCTAACGCTGGAGAATCGCTTGAACCCAGGAGGTAGAGGTCACAGTGAGCTGTGATCATGCCATTGCACTCCAGCCTGGGCAACAAGAGTGAAACGCCGTCTCAAAAAAAAAAAAGAAAAAAAGAAAGAAACCGGTTCCTTGGTGTGGTTAATTTACTTTGAGAGGTATTTACCAGTTGGGATATGTCCTAAAAAGTGACTGACATTTTATTCAGGGCCTGGTATATCTTGGGCTAAGTGCTAGCTAGTATTTTTACTTTATCCAGTGTAACCTTCATGACTGTCCTGTGAAGTGAGAATCATTTTCCCTATTATACCTATGAAGAAACAGATTCAGAGAGATTAAGTAATTTGCTTAAGGTCACATAGCAAGTAAGAGGAAGGATTGGAATTCAAACCCAGGTCTGTCTGCTCTGTGATACTGAATTGCCTCTGGGACTGTGACACATGAGGAAGAACTGAAAAGACCAAGGCTAAGAGCCTGGGGGAACATGATACTTCATTCAAATACCTGAAGAATTGTCATGGGGAAAAAAAACTGGATGTTCTCTGTGATTCTAGAAGGCATCTCAGGATTAAATGACATAATTTCCAAGAGGGTAGACTTTGGTTTAATAGGAGATAATGTAGCTTTCTAAAAACAAAATGGGCTGCCTTGTGAAGGAGTGAGTTACCCATCATTGCAGATATTCAAGCAGAGAGTTTGCCACATTTTATTTATTTATTTATTTATTTATTTATTTTATTTTTTTATTTTATTTTTTTTTGAGACGGAGTCTCGCTCTGTCACCCAGGCTGGAGTGCTGTGGCCGGATCTCAGCTCACTGCAAGCTCCGCCTCCTGGGTTCACGCCATTCTCCTGCCTCAGCCTCCTGAGTAGCTGGGACTACAGGCGCCCGCCACCTCACCCGGCTAGTTTTTTTGTATTTTTTAGTAGAGACGGGGTTTCACCGTGTTAGCCAGGATGGTCTCGATCTCCTGACCTCGTGATCCGCCCGTCTTGGCCTCCCAAAGTGCTGGGATTACAGGCTTGAGCCACCGCGCCCGGCCTATTTATTTATTTTTTGAGACAGCGTCTCACTTCATCATCCAGGCTGGAGTGCAGTGGCATGATCTTGGCTCACTGCAACCTCTGCCTCCTAGGTTCAAGCGATTCTCATGCCTCAGCCTCCCGAGTAGCTGGAATTACAGGCATGTACTGCCACATCCAGCAAATTTTTGTGTTTTTGTAGAGGGTTTCACCATGTTACCCAGACTGGTCTTGAACTCCTGACCTTAGGTGATCCGCCCGCCTCAGCCTCCCGAAGTGCTGGGATTACAGGCGTGAGCCACTGCGCCCAGCCCCGGCTAATTTTTTTGTATTTTTAGTAGAGACAGGGTTTTGCCATGTTGCCCAGGCTGGTCTCAAACTCCTGAGTTCCACCTGCCTCGGCCTCCCAAAGTGCTGGAATTACAGGCATGAGCCACTGCTCCTGGCTTTTTTTTTTTTTTTTTTTTTTTGAGACAGGGTCTTACTCTGTTGCCCAGGTGGGACTGTTACAGTAGTGTAGTCTTAGCTCACTGCAACCTCTGCCTCCTGGGCTCAAGTGATCCCCCTGCCTCAGCCTCGCGAGTAGAT